TGGCAAGTTTATTGCCTAGAAAATGTTTCAACAAAAACAGGTAGAAGACAGGTACTGTAGGTAATGTGGTTGAGAAGTCAGCTTGGTTTCTACAGGAATACCATTTTATGACATTTTTACCTTAATTTGTTTAACAAGCTTTTGATTCCAGAATTCATCACAGCAGAACATGCTCTGCCATATCAGGTTTCCGTTCAATCTGTGCAGTGCTTCCGAACAAGACTTTGAAAGGCCTTTCAAAGAATTGGGTCAGGATCAGCTTAATAGCCAGGGGACCTCTGTTTCTAAAAGAGCTATGTAAACTACTTTTATAACCTTCTTTATATAAAACTAGGTAATTGGGTCAAAGAAAAAAAAATACTGATGTCCTGCAAACATTGAAGGACATACTGTAAAGGTGCTGTCCTTTAAAAATTCCAAATGGGAATCTGAGGAAGCTAATTCCATGCCGGATTGCCATTGGGCAGGGGTGTGTGTGTGTGTGGGAGGGAGGGTACTTCCTGAGGAATACTTGAAAATCATTGGACAAAAACGGGAGCCTGGTACCTGTCAAAATGTGATGTAACATATTCTCCTACCACTCTCACCAATGCAGAAAAAGAGCAGTGAAGCTTCAAGCACCAGTCTGCCCAGAGTCTGATCTGGTCTATATTTTGTATACTAATGCTTAGGAAGGTTGAACTTTGTAACATTTTTTTTTTCATTTTACACTGTATTATGTTTCACACTGAAAATTTAGAAAGATACTTGGATCCATATTTACACTGTGTTCTCTTTTTGGTGATTTGTTTGATATGTTATATTATGCATAATGATAATTACATATTATATATTATAATTATAATAATGATTGTGGCATTGGACTTGAATGTTCCCTTTTTGTAGCAGTATATGTGACAAAACTGCCCCTTTAAATGTTGTGGCGCAATGCAGGGACTGTCTGGTGTGGGGGGGGCGGGGCGGAGCCCCTGATTAAGGGAGACGCGTTGCAGTGGAAACCACACCTGACGTGAATGAACGGCAGGTGCAGAAGTGGTTTAAAGGGAAAAAGATGCAACGGAGGGGAAATGCAGAGGCTCTGCTGTGAGAGAGCCGGGCTGAAGCAGGACAGTAGCGGCTGTGAGACGCTACTAGTCGGGGCGATGTTAGAAGGGCGTGATGCCCTGTACAGTATGAGTGAGCAAAGTCTTGACTAGCCGCTGTAGTAACCCCGAGAGGGGG